CCCCTGCCCGGGACCCCTCCCCGCCACGCCCCCTGCCCCGTTTCGGGGAGTTTGCAGCTTCAGAGTTCGGTCCCCGTCTGTGGTTTCTTGTGCCGCGTTTGGGGTCTTCGGCAAATTCGCTCTAGTTAGTGTCTCCGCTTCAAGGAGCCACCCGCGGGAGAAAGTCCTGGCAGTCGGCCTCCTTGAGCACTGGGGACCCTGAGGGCAGTTCTGTTCAGCGTGGACCTGCTGTTGGAGACGCAGGTCCTCAGTTTCCTGTGAGATTCCGTCCGAAAATTGGGCGCCGAAGGGTTTGACTAGATCCGCCTGGGGGGAACCCGAGTCCCACCTGCTGGAAGAGGAAGCACGGAGCCTGCCGGCTGCAGGTGGCTGCAAGGGCCTCCGCGGCCCTCCTGGTCCATCCAGGACGGCGTTTGGGAAGAATGGGTGTGAGGACTGCTGTCCCGGACGGACATAAGGGAGACCCGATATTTGTGGAGATGGCTTTAGTAGCCCAGTGATTGCCTTTTGGTTGGCACGCGCTCAGATACAATCGGTGCTTCAGGACGTGCGAGGCACCTGAAGCAGCCCTGGTGGCACGTTGGGTTACATGGGCTGTTAACCCAAAAGTCAGCCGTTCGAAACCACTCCCTGCTCTGAGGGAGAAAGACGTGGCTTCTCTGGTAGAGAGTTACAGTCTCAAACCCATAGGGGCCGTTCTACTCTGCCTTATAGCGGTAACGTCGCAGTTAGCATCAACTTGATCGCAGTTTCTTGGGGTGTTTTGAGGGCTTCTAAGGACTTCGCAGAGGAGAGTTACAGCCTGCTTGTGGTGGAGGGGAATTAAATATTTCCAAGAAAAACCTAAGGGGCTGAACACACACCTGGAGGTTCAGGAAGATTGAAGAGGCCACCAAAGGCATGCTCATGGAGGGGTAGCAGAAGGCCCTGGGAAAGCCTGAGAGGAAGGTCTCTCTGTACGAGGTGGGAGCAGTTCCCAGTGCCCAAAGGTGCTTTCAGTCCAGCCTTGCTGCAGATCCTTAAAGGATGCTCAACTATTAATCCAAACCTCAACAACCAACATGTGGCCCAGCACAGCCTCACTTTGGGCAATATCTGGCTGAGTATTGGGGATTCTAATTAGCAGAAGGAGGCCAATAGGTTTTGGTTAATAGTTGAGAAACCTCTAAGGAATTAATGAGATGACAACTCTTTAAGAAATATGCTCTATGGGGGATGTAGGGGTGGGGGTTGGAGATAGAGAGGGATTGGGGATTTCAGGAGTAAACAATGAAGACGGCAGGGGGAGGAAGCACTAGAATTGACTGATTACATGATTCATTTTAAAGGTGATTTCACCGTGGGGGGTGGGGAAATGCTTAAAATTGATTACGGTAATGTACAATTCTTGATATGATTGAACTATTGAATTATGTGATATGTGGAATAGGTGCCAATAAAAATGTCAAAAAAAAATAAGGCTCTCCAGTAAACCAGTAAACTGTTGGCTGCACATAGTTAATACTCTGCTGCAAAATTCAAGCCAACCAAACAAACTCACTGCCACTGAGTCAATGTGAGCTCTTGTGGGTTTCTGAGACTCAAGTGTTTACAGGAGGGAGTCTGGTGAGTGAGAAAGCACTGAGGAGATTGTAGTCAGTGTCACCACGCAAAATGGGTCAGGATTGTTAAATGGAAAATCAATTTGCAAATTCTCACCCAAAATCACGGTAAATTTTTTTTTAAAGCCTTGATCCTTGCTTTTCAGTTGCTACCATTTGTGCCCTCCCACGTTCTCAGGCTGCTGTGCATGTTTGCATGGCGGTCTGTATTTTCCTCCCTGTTCTCATGGGCAGCGGGTGTGTGTGCCCCTCGCTGGGTACTAGCCTGCCCAGCCTGTAGGGCAGGGCTTTTAGGTGCCCAGCCTGAGCATCGCTGTGACCAACACTGGGGCTCCTTCTGATCCCAGGCTGGGTTCGCATTGCTTAGGTCTCTGGTGAGAGCCAACTTACAGGCACTTGAAACAGTCCGTCTGCTGGGTAGCAATAGAACCCCACCACCGGCACTGCTGGGTTCAGGATTTTACTCCGCACCCTGTTGTTGAGGCTTTGGTGTTGTCAAGTGTCTTTGTAGGTGACTTTCTCTTGAGTGGCTTCCTCGGAGTCCATCCAGCCGATCTACCAGCGTGGGGCATTGTGATGCTCAGGTTTCTGGCTGTTAGGATAGCAGTACCTTGACTCTTCTAGCACATACCTGCAGGATGTGTACTTGGGTGTAGAATCAGTGCAAATAGCATCTACAGCCCTGGTCCGACCTGCACCCAGGGCAGTGCCACGTGGCAGCCGATCATTTTCACGTCAGCCCTTTCAGTGGTGATGCTGCTCTCAGGTAAGCATGGGATCACCAGATGCAGTGTCTGTGGCTCAGCTACGCTGTGGAAGACTCGGGGCTCCCTGTTCTGCTGAGTTTCAAAGTCTCAAAACCTTATGCTGAGTAGGGTCACTGAGTCTGGTTTGGGAGGTGGTGGAGGACCTGGTGTGGCTTGCCTCTCCCTGATGGCGGTGAGGGTGGGTGCTGAGTTGTATATTTTCTACTCTCTTGGTGTCTTATAAAGTGTCCACTTGCCCACTTTTTTCTGGGCTGTGTGCTTGTTGCCTTTTGGATTTGTAGCAGTTATTTATGAGTGATGTATCTTTGGTTAGAGTACGCGTCTGACAGGAAAAGAAGGGGGCCTGCTTGAAGCTGGCTGGGGACTCAGTCCTGCCACTGCAGCCATCCTCTCTGGCCAGGCCAGCTGTGGCTCCCCTGGCCTGATTGTGATTCCAGCGAAGTAAAATTAGTTAAGAGGCGATAGGTAACAGCAGTGTAGGTGACTTTCAGGCCCAGAAACGTGGCCTCTCCTAGCCTAGGGCCAACTGCGAAGCGTGGGCTCTGGCTCCACAGGGCCCACCCAGTTAGGCACGAGGAACATTTGAGAAGGAGACCCATGGGATGCACAGGCTAGACAGACCCAGGGCAGTGGAACAAGAGGAATTTCCCTGGGCACAGCGGTTTGAGCTGTCAGACTTTGCCACACTTCATGTGACAAGTGGGTGCCGACAGCAACGTGACTCGAGATGGATGCACTGGGGCTGCATGCCCTGTTGGAGGAGTCTAGCCTCAGGGATTGATGCACCCATAGCTGGAAAGTTGGGGCTGTCATCAGCCCTCAACAGCTGTAGACCTGGTTTCCCTTGCCCTGAATACCCCGGAGCCACTGTCCTCTAGTCTTGCTTGCCAGCACCAACACCTGTCAAGTTGCTTGCCATACAGGAAGTGCTCTCTGGCACTGGGAAGTAGTTGGGGCCAATGTGGACTGCCTTGAGGGCAGTTGGCAGGGGTGTGCGTGACCAGTTGTCCCGCTCAGGGTGTGCCCTGGGGAGCCTGTGCACTGGGAAGGACACAGGAAGAGGCCTGAGTGGGGTCTTCAAATGGGAGGGGCTCCGTGGCATTCTCTGATGGAAGTTGCAACTTTGTACCATCTAGGAGGGGCTGAAGGGCTGAGCCTGCCATGGTGTTGGAGTTGCCAACTACCACAGAGCCTCCCCTGACTGACTGGCTTTCTCTCTCTGCTTTTAGGATGCTTTGCATGTGGAATGGAGAATGGATTCCGGGTCTACAACACCGACCCCCTGAAGGAGAAGGAGAAGCAAGGTAAGGGGGAGAGGGGCTTTGGCGGAGGAAATGACTGGGGGCCCACACACTAGCTGTCGCCCTTCCGTCGCTGAGCCTGCATTGTGGAACCTCTACAGGAGTGAGTGAGTGCTGGAGTTGGCCAGCTGGCTTTCCAGGGATGACAGCCAGCATAAACCCTTTCAGACTTTCCATCCGTTTGGCTTTTCTTCTGCAAACAGATGTCCAGCCACACTAGGTCAGCGACAAAGGAGAGCACCCTTCTTGCTGCCTCCTCCTCGGAGCAGCTCTTCGTCTGTAACAGGAAGTGTTCTGCACCGTGTCCCGACTCCCCAGCACTGTCTACACAGCTCCAGACATTCCCAGCTGATGGCCTGCTTCGGGGAGTCTCCCATGTTCTTGGCAGCAGAACTCTTTTTCCAGTGAGATGCCGAGTTGTCTGTGTGGGATTACCCCATGAGGAGATCCCACAGGAAAGGTGGTGTGGCTGGGCCAGGCTGACTTCCCTCTGGCTGCGCGCTAGCCCCTCCCCATGCACTGGCCAGGTGGTGGTGCGGCAGGGCTGTTGTGTTCCCCTGGAATCACACAGGGGCACTCAGTCGTTGGTCGACCTTCTTGTGGGATATGCTTTGCTTGGTTATGTAGTGAATTTTGCAGAAAAGCAGCTGCAAACCATTTTTCAAACATCTTGAGTCTCCAGATACCTTTTACTTTAACTGACCCAATAGCATAAAGGTTTGTAGAAAGTGGTTGCATGGTTGCATTATTAGCAGTGTATTGTATTAGCAGCTGCTTGCTAATTGGTGAAATGTTTGTAACCAGTTCCCTGGAGGAAGATGTGGACATCTGCTTCCCTTGGGAGCCCAGTGGGGCAGGTCCACTCATTCCTGTAAAGTCCCTCTCGGCTGGAATTGACTTGATGGCAGTAGGTCTGCTGTTTGTGTTTTTTTTTTTACAATCAAGAATTTCTTAAAGTAAAATTAAATTGAACGAAAGTGTCTAAAACTTCCAGGTTTCAGGATGGTACACCTTTGCCTTGCATGCTGAGCCTGCAGGTGCCCACATGCCCTGCTGTGTGCCCCCTATGGTGTCTTTGCATTGCATCCTGTGCTGTATCCCATGCACATGTGTCCCTGTGTGCATATGTTTTCAGATGCCACACCGGCAGGCTTACCCAGTGCATTGGGTTTCTAGTGGCTGGTGGGCATTGCTCGAAGCATGTCCGAAGCAGCCCACCTTTGAGAGGCTGCGCTGCCAGTGCTGGTCCTGCTGCCCCAAGCCCAGGCCCCCTGGGACCCACCTTCCAGATCTGCGAGTGGGGAACCCGTGTGCTGGGGTTATGTGCAGAGCACCCCTCTGGGTGGTCTGGTACAAGCTGGAGCCCTCGGCTGGGTGTTTCCCAGTATGGCCATGGTGGGTGAGGAGCCTGCGTGCTGGAGTCACGGGCAGCGCACCCCTCCAGGTGGCCTGTCACTGACAATGGGTGCTTGTCGGGGTGCTGTGTGCATCCTCCCCAGGGACTCAGCCTTCAGCGGGGCTGCTCCTGGCAGCACAGGGAGGTCATGGGGGTGATGCATGTCTAGGATGCATGTCTTGCCACCTCAGAGCTGCTCTGGGGCCCTGGGGAGGGCTGCATCCTGGTTCAGGCCCTCCCAACTATAGGCGTTCTGTGGGAAGGTCCAGCAGCCATCATCTGAACAGAGAAGCGAGTAGGACGCTTGGAAAGTGTGGTGTGCCCAGAATGCCCATGTTCAGCTGGGGGTGGGTGGTATGACCAGCAAGGCCACTGCATGACTTTGAGGGTTGACTTCTGATCTACTGTGTGCTCTATCTGTGCCTGGCTGTCTGCACTCCACGTTTCAAGAAGCCAAGTCTTGGTCCTGCCCTGGCTGGCCCATTCTCAATACTGGCAGGCTCAGTGTGAAGTGCTGAAGACAGACCTTCTTTTAAAGTCACTTGTCTTTTCAGAGTTTCTGGAAGGGGGAGTTGGCCATGTGGAGATGTTATTTCGTTGCAACTACTTGGCTTTAGTAGGTGGTGGGAAAAAGCCGAAGTACCCACCCAATAAAGGTGAGTCCCGTGCCACCCTGTCTGTGGGAGTGCTGAAGGGCTCCTCGCAGGGGACAGGCAGACAGGAGGTCGCAGGGGACAGGCAGACAGGAGGTTGTCTCCGCGCTTTCTGCAGAGAGGCCTGAGGAGGAACGCCTGGCCTGGCTGCCTCTGCTAGTAGGTTAGAAGGGAGACAGGCCGGAAGCACGACAGGCTGGGCTGAGGCTCAGTGGCGGCTGCTGTGGGCGAGCAAGGGACAGGCTGCTGTTGGGTGCTTTTTGCTTTGTTTTTACTGTCGGGAGCTGTAGCCCATCGACGTGTTAGATTGGTCACCCATAGAATGAAAAGCCCGCTGGAGTCTGTGTGATGGGATTTGTGTGTGTGTGTGTGTGTGTGTGTGTGTGTGTGTGTGTGTGTGTGCGTGCGTGCGTGCTCGCTTGAGCACATCCCATCTGAGCATCCAATCCTTTCAGTGTGGAGTGGAGGAAAGCTTTCATGACCACAGCCTGTACCTTTTGCCCATAAATTACCTGCGGAAGTGGGGGCTAGGCTTGGAGAGGGGGAGACCTAGGAAAGGAGAGTGCAGCCAGAGCAGTGTGGGTGTGTGGGCTGTGCGGCGGATGGGGGTCTGGGCTGGAGACAGGGCTGTGTGTGCTCACCTGTGGCCAGGGTGTCCTGCTCTGACACAGCCCCTTCCGGCAGTGATGGTCTGGGATGATCTGAAGAAGAAGACCGTCATTGAGATTGAGTTCTCCACAGAAGTCAAGGCCGTCAAGCTTCGACGGGACAGGTGGGTCCTGCACTCCGAGGCCTCCGTGGGGAGTGGAAGCTCCAGCGCCTGCAGTGCGGAGCCCAGAGGACGGAGGGTGGTCCATGCTGCTGCACGGGGCAGGACTTAGGGTGGGTTCACAGTGGGCAGGCCTTGCCTAGCTGGGCCAGTGTCCTTCCTTCCATTGCCTTTGGGTGTATGTGGACAGGGCCTTGGCAGGTGAGGAGACTGCACCTGTGTCCTGGTCCTGAACACCTTGATTCTGAGCTGTGCTCTCGGCATGCTCCCCCCAATGACAACAGCATGCTCAGCCGAAGCCACCAGCCACAGCCATTCTAGTGGTGTCTTAGTACTTAGGAGCTTGCCCTGAGAGACGGAGCACAGTGCAGCGAGGCTTTGTCCTGTGACGTGACTGGCTCAGTAAACACCAGGTTTCCTGATGTCTGTCAACTGTGATACAGTCCCTCCTGCCCTCCCTCCCAGCCCAATGACATCACCTCCATTGGTGTCAGTGTACAAAGGCTGAGAGTGAGGCAAATGCAGGACCGAGCTACACTCTTCTGCCTTCTGCATCATCAAGACAGGTGTCTTCTCTGTCCTGTGTTCTGCTCAGTCCACAGTGTGAGTGGAATCATCGAGAGCATGTCTTTAAAAGCCACAAGGTTCAGATAGCCAGAAAAGTACGCCCCAAGGAGGAGACTCCTTCAGCAGGACGTATGGGGTGGGGGGCTCCCACTCCAGGGATGCCTCCCAGGAAGCCATGATGCAGTTCAGGAAAGTTCCTTTCGCTGTGATGGTCCAAGACACACAAAAGCCACACACGGTGAGATTCACGTGGGACAGGAAGACTGTTTTCCTTTCAGAATTGTGGTGGTCCTGGACTCCATGATCAAGGTGTTCACGTTCACACACAACCCCCACCAGCTGCACGTCTTTGAGACCTGCTACAACCCTAAAGGTAAGGGATCTGAGAGGAGCCATAGAGGTGGGCCCTCACCCCCTCCCTTCTGCCCTCCCTCAGGTCTGTTCTTCCAGTCAGCTAACCCCACTCCCCTTGGTCAGAACCTTGTAATGTAGCCCGAGTTGTCCTCTAAGTGTGGGGCCTTGTGTGACCACAACCCTTCCCTGCCCCACCCCAAGTTTCCACATGTTTAGGGGCTGCCAGGAGGGAGCCCCCCTCATGGGGGCTGTGGTTCAGACCTTTCTCCTTGTGTGGTGGCAAAGCTGACTCATTCGTTCGTATCTCTTGCCCCCTCCCCAGCTTTATTAAGGTCTAATTGGCATGACGCTTAGTCAGGTGAGGTGGTGGCTGCTACACAGTGGTTGATACATAGAACACTGTTTCGCATCCGACCGGGTGCTGTGGATTCCCGGGGTGTGTGCATGGCGATCCCACTGCAAGAGCATCACTGCTCCTCCTTGGGCCAAGGGCCCCTGCAGTGTAGGCACCAATGGCCCCTTGGCGTCTCTCCACGTGCTTTCTGCTGACTGGGTGACCTCTTCTCTGGAGAGTCCAAACCAAACGAACCCAACCCACTGAGGCCAGGTCAGTTCCGACTCATAGCGACTCTCAGGCAGGTTGAGTTGCCCCTGTGGGTTTCCCAATATCCCTCGTGGTGTTGCTGGGTAAGCATGCGGCTGCAAACCACAAGGTCAGCCGTTGGCACCCGTTGGCCACTGCTCGGGAAAGAGGCGGCAGCTTGCCCCTGGCACAGGGGTTAAGTATGCCTGGAAAGCTGCCAGAGGCCCCATGCGTTGGACCCCCATAGGACGACGGCAGTGGGCAGTCTCTCTCCTGTGGAGCCGCTAGCTTCGGCTCACCCTTCCCTACTAATGGCGTCCATGGTGATTTTGTGAGCGCTTTGGCTTGTGACACCAGGCTTCTAAAGTGCCAGATCTTTGACCAGTTGTAATCGGTAGTTTATCTTCCCATTAAGTTGAAGAGTTCTTTCGGCAAAGGGCTAGGTGAAGCTCGTCAAACATGTTTATACATTTCCATCCAGAAGATAAATAGGTCTAGATTATAGTGTAGGATTTTAAAACATTGGACGACTATAGTGTGATGAGTAAAACCCTCCCCTCTAATCCTCAAGGTACGTGATGCCCCAGAACCTCACCTGGTGTCCCCACCCCCCAGGCTGGGGCTGTCAGGGCAGTAAAGCACAAATGTCTTGGCCAGCCCCCCAGTGACTGCCGCTTCTCTTGCAATGAAGACTGATATGTTTCAGTTTCGGGGAAACTGCTGCAGACCAGGCAGCTCTGGCTTTCTCTGTGGGTGGGTGTCCCCCTTGCTCGGACCTTCCCAGTCCTTGTGTGTCTCCCCTGGGTGGGCCAGTGGACCCGTTAGACCTTGCCCTCCACCTGCCCCCGACCCAACACACCTGGGTCTGAGAGACAGCCCACTGGGATTCCATGTCTGGTTTTCTACTTGGGGTAAAGGGATGTTGGACACTGTGGCCAGTCTCTCAGAGTGTGCCCTCTTAACCTGCTGCTGTGGCTATTTTTCCTTGGGGAATGTTCTGGATTGAGTTTGTGCTGCTTGGCACCAGCAGTGGCCATCCTTGGGGCTGTACACCACCCTGTGCATCATCTGCTTGGGGCTTTGGTGGCAGCAGTGTGACTGCCATCGCCCGTGTCAGTGGAAGAGAAGCTGTACCACACTGCTGGGCACCGAGAGCTCCTGTGCCGGTGCTCTGGTGTGGCTTAGGTGTTCAGTCAGCTGTGGTGGTGGGCTGACCAGAGCGTGCACAGTGGCCAACTGTTGTCCCCATCTCTGACCATCTGGGTGCCCTTGTGTATGTGTGCAAGACACACCCACTTCCTCATGAAGCTGGCTACCCCCAGGAGTGGGCACCAGGTCCCTGTGAATGACCGTCCCAGGAGAAGAGCGAGCACCTGCATGGGGCTAGATGTCAGCCAGTGCTGGTGTTGCTGGACTGCAGACCAAATACACTGAGCCCAGTGGCTTGTGGCACCTCTTCCTGTTGATCTTCACACCAGACCCTTCCAGATCACGTGCACATGGGCATCCCCGGCCAGGACCTCAGTGGGAAGGGTAGCGAGAACGCCAGGAACACAAATAACGGGGAGCCTGGCGCCAGAGGTCTCGTGGAGCTGCAGCGGAGCTGGCACCGCCCAGCAGAGAGCCCGGAGCAACTGTGTGTGCCACCGCTTAGACCTGACACGTGTCAGCAGTGCTGTTACTGTGGGAACACACCCAGAGTGAGAGCACTCGGGGTGGGGGTGGGGGTGGGAGGAGGGAGAGTTGTCCAGAGCTGGGTCAGGAGTCTAGAGAGCAGGTCTTCTCTGTTGGCAGTGAACGTGGAGCGAAGATTATGGGGCAGTGTGCCCATGGTTTGGGTCCCCACTTCACATGGACAGCCCTGCAGTAGCAGAAATCCCACAGCAGGTGCTGCGGGGCCCTTGGCATCTGCTGAGAGCAGAGCCCTCTTCTGGAGCCCCTTCCATTCCCTTGACAGTCAGTGGGTGTGGGCAGGAAACAGCATTCCCAGTGATGAGGTGATCCGGGACGTGTGAGAGAGGGCCCCAGGTTGGGGGGCTGGCAGCAGCCAGGGCTGGAGGACCAGGAGTGAGGGTTGGCTTGGAAGCCAGTTTTGAAACCGGCCATGAGTCACTCGAGCGTTTGTCTCCGTAGGTTTGTGCGTCTTGTGCCCCAATAGCAACAACTCGCTCCTGGCCTTCCCGGGCACACACACGGGCCACGTGCAGCTCGTGGACCTGGCCAGCACGGAGAAACCCCCCGTGGACATTCCCGCACACGAGGGTGTCCTGAGTTGTGTTGCCCTCAACCTACAGGGGACTCGAATCGCAACTGCATCTGAGAAGGTGAGCTGCCTGTGGAGACGGTCCTTCCCTTTGGGTCGCATGGTCCTGAGCTGGGCAGTGGCCTCTTGGTAGCCAGGCATCTAGGCCAGAGGCTGTTTCCACCCCTTTGCACCAACAAGTTGGAAAGTCTGAGCAAAATCATTAAGTAAGGGCAGAGATGAGACAGGCCGACAACACGGCCATGGGCAGCCGGGCTGTGGAAATGGGTTTATTTTCCAAGCTGTCGGCCAAGTCGCTTTCCCCAGAGCTGCCAGGTGTCTGTCCCTCCCCATTAGAGTCTGCTGGGCCCTCAGGACAGAGCCCTCTCTGGAGTCCAGCCCCCAGACTCCCAGGAAAGGAATTGAGAGCAGCTGGGGCCACTTTATGGCCTGGCTGGCTGAGGGCAACCGTGGTGACCTCCCTTCTCGCTGCCCCAAGGTTGTCACTGAATGGACACTCCCCTGGACGGTCACCTGTGCCTTGTGGGCAAGAGGGAGGAAGCTCTGGGTGGGTGGGTGTGTGACCCGCTGGCCTCCTGAGCGTCTGATAATGAAACCCTTTGCTGTTTTCCAAAGGGGACCCTTATCAGAATATTTGATACCTCATCAGGGCACCTGATCCAGGAGCTGCGCAGAGGCTCTCAGGCAGCAAACATCTACTGGTAAGCACCACCCTCAACATTGACAAGCATGTGGGGAGGGGCCAGGGGAGGAACAGCAGCTGGTCACTGGGCAGCAGAGTCCGGCTCTGAAAAACAAACTCTGGTTTTTATCATGGGAGCAGAGAAGGTCCACACGGGGAGGGAGCGTGTCGCACCTAACTCTCAGCAGCACAGAGCCAGTCTTACATCATCTCCAGAGGTTGGGGCCTCACAGGGGCCTGACCAGGTCGGGTGGCCTCAATGGGTGGTCTCAATCCTGGCACCCTGAGCCATAGCTAAGGGGCTCAGGACCAGGGCTACTGGTGGCTGTCACCACAGCAGACACAGTGGGCAGGCTTGGGCCCCTACAGGCAGAGGAGGTGCAGTCTCAGGACGCTCGCTGCCTTGAGTTGGTGAGACTGCCTGGAGGCCTGGTCCTCTGTGGGCAGTCTGCAGGGAGCCCCTCGTTGGCACATGGCTTGGGCCAGGGAAGCCGGTTCATGGGACCTCGAGAATCAGGCACAGGACTGACTAGAGAATTTGAGGTCATCTCCATGATGAGAGCCATGGGCCTTGGAGGGGAGGGTCCTCATGCCCTAGCCGAAGCTCTCTGGCCTGAAGTCTCACGAGGCTCTCTGTTCCTGGTTCTCTCTGCAGCATCAACTTCAACCAGGACGCGTCCCTCATCTGCGTATCTAGCGACCACGGCACAGTGCACATTTTTGCCGCTGAAGACCCAAAAAGGAATAAGCAGTCCAGGTGGGTGTGTGGAAGCCCATGGCAAGAGAAGACCAAAATCAAAGATTGGTGGGCGCATCTTGTGTTCTGGGCGCTCCTGTTCCCATGGTTCTCCCTGAGGTTGGGAGTTAGGGTGGAAGACTGGGCACTGAGTGGTGGCCTAGTGTTGCCCTCTCCTGAGACTACAGAACCTTGCTAAAGAATTTCCCATGAGAAATAAGAGATCAAAGGCAAAAGGTTGAAGGAAGCACTTTTGACTTGTCAGTAGCATACAGGCTCAGAGCAGGCGAATTTTCTGTGACCTTTTTTTTTTTCCTTCCTTGACCTTGTTGGGTGAGATGCTTTCTTTTGTTTGTCCTCAGTTTGGCATCTGCCAGTTTCCTTCCGAAATACTTCAGCTCCAAGTGGAGTTTCTCCAAATTCCAGGTCCCCTCCGGCTCGCCGTGCATCTGTGCCTTTGGGACAGAGCCCAACGCTGTCATTGGTGAGCACCTCTCCTTCCCCTTGTGCACTCCCCCTGCCCGCCAGGTTTCCCAGGGGCCCTTGGGGCAGACCGAGTGTCTTCTGCCCAGACAACCCGAGTGGAGGTCCCTGGCACGTGCACCTGAGTGCACCCTGGCCGGAGGCCTGTGCTGGGTTGGGCATGCGAGCTCCGTGTGCAACCGTGGTTAAGGGCCTTCCCTCTGTTGTAGCCATCTGCGCCGACGGCAGCTACTACAAGTTCCTGTTCAACCCCAAAGGGGAGTGCATCCGGGACGTGTATGCACAGTTCCTGGAGATGACCGATGACAAGCTGTGAGCCTTCTGGCCTGGACACGGTGCTGATGCCGCAGGTGCCCAGGCTGCCCCCTAGTTCCTGGGGTGGCCCGGTGGCCCTCACCTTGAAGCCATATGTGGTGGTCTGCTTACCCAAGAAAGCGCGCCTTTCCAGTATTACAGAGCAGTGCGGCTGTCGAGCACTGGGAGGCCCTCTCCAGGGATCCACTTGTCACCTGTGACTTGGCTCAGCAACTCGCTGCACCCTCCACACCAGATGGCGCCATGCAGGGGCCGCCCTGAGAGCCCGGACACTTGGACCTTGGTTTTTGGCAGCAGATTCCATTACGTCATCAACTTAGGGAAAATGATCACATATGAACGTGAATCCCCCAGTGTCACAGGATCAAGATACAAAAGTAATTCCACCAGCAGCAGCCTTAGAACAGGAGGAAGGGCTTCCTTCCCAAGTCGGCACTGAAGCAGAGACCCACTGTCAGCACGTCCTGATGTGTCCCTGCTGTAAGTTTGAGTCGTGGTCTCTGCCTGTCTGTAACGTCGTCTGGCATGTGCGTCCGTCGCTGGGCTTTTGGAATGGAAGCAAACACAGGCCTCCGGTACAGCTCTCCTCCCCAGAGGCTGCAGCAACCTCGTGGTTCTGTCACGTGAAGGCAGCACGGTGGGACCGAGGCTTCACCCCCATCACAGACGTGGCTAGTGCGGGCAGCACCGTGCCCCCCCGCCGCTCGCTCATGGGACTCAGCCTCGTCCCACCTGCCAACGCCCCCTGAACTCCCCAACATTTGCTTCCTTCCTGACATCTGTAAGGATAGCCACACACACTTGGGAAAGGCACATAACATTTTTAACCTTTGGTAATAAGTAAAATAAGTTATGGGCTCTTATGTCATTAGTACTATTTGAGGTATATATTTAAGTTTCCTCAATTTCCTTTAAAGAGACTTGATTTTGTGTTTCATGTCAGATTGCAGACATTTAAAATCCACATCACAGCCCCTTCTGTTTGTCAGTTTCTGTCCTGTAATCAGCTAACTTTGTGGATTTTGATGTCAAGTATGCATGTTACTTTTATGTGTATTTAATCATGAAATTTAATTTTGCACACTTATTTGTAATGTTTCTCTTAAATAAAAGTGACTAATTTTGTTGTACTCCATATACAAAGGGAACTAGAATTTCTCATTAGAGAAAACCGAATGTACTCCCCTTGCACTGTCTAGGGACTGACTTCCCCTGGGTGGGACTGTGAACACAGCCCAGCCCAGGGCTCCCCAAGTCCAGCCCCCCACACTGGGCACACCTGGATTGCAGAACAAGACATCAGTGGAAAACTTGTGCAGCCCACCTGGGGAACGGAGAGGGATGGTCATCATTGGTCACCTCTCTTGTGCTGGTACGGCCATGTGGGGGGGCCTCTTGTGTCTGGGCCGAATGCAAGCAAGAGGCACCCCTGCTTCCAGCTATTTGTGTACCATTCCGGCTTCCTCCAGCCGTCCCCGATGTGATTACTGGCTTGTGTGCTCCTCACTGGACACGGCCCTTGTTCCCCAGAGGAAAGGGAGAGTGGTCTTCCCAAGTGCAGAGCCTCACCCTGATTTGGGGGTGAAGTTGTGTAAGCTGTAAGCCTGTGCTTGGGACAAGAGGTCTGTCTACACCCAGATGAGCCTCACGGGATGACCTGCTCTGCCGTGAGATGGGGCAGTGGGTCTCAGCAGCCCTAAAGATGCCCTGTGGCCGAGCAGCATGGGATACTGCTGGGTGGCATGCCTAGCCAGCATGCATGCTCTCTGCCAAGTTGAGTAGCTGGCAGCTTGAGGCTTCATGGCAGAAGGGTCCCAGAGGGCTTTTCCTATAAAGGGATGGTGCATTCGTGCCAAGGCGTGTGGTCTGAGGTGGGGTCTGCAGGTGGCTTGAGGTGGCAAGGTAACTAAAAGGGAGGCATCATAGCGCTGTCTGAAGTCAGTTGAAGGAGAGCTGGTGGGTGGAGCATCCAGTGGGCTCATTTGGGTTCAAACTTGATTTCAGGTGAGCTGGTGGGTGGAGCATCCAGTGGGCTCATTTGGGTTCAAACTTGATTTCAGGTGAAAACGGGCACAGGGTTGGCACCTGTGCTGCCTTTGAGTCCTTGTGTGCTAGGCCCCTAGGTGCTCACAAATGAGTGCCTCCCTCCTCGGTTAGGTCCCGGGTGGTCTGCTCAAGCCAGGCATGCGTGAAGCCCCCACTCTGTACAAGCCCTTGCTTTGGTAGCCACGCAGAAAAGTGCAATTTTTAAAAAATCTTATCAACTGGCGACTAAAATGTAAAAGCCTTAAGCAGCACACTGTTCTCTGAAGAAACCTATTCACCCAGTGTCCTGTTTCTGTGGCTTCTCTGGCATGTGGATGTGAAAGCTTATCTGTTTTCCAACGGCCTTGGCCTTATCTCAGCCCTTCCGCTTCCAGCTGCCTGGTCTGTTCCTCAACCAGGGACAGCAAGTACATTCAGAAGCACCATTATGGGGAGTCAACATCCCTTCTCAGCAACAATA